AAATGTATATTGGGAGCCTCTCTTTAAATTCATCATTGCAGCAGTTATTGATCTGTCTACTCAAATGTTCTGTTTTACTTCAGCGGGTACTGTTACTTCAAAGGTTTATTTTTATGCTTTTCTGTCATTTTGAAAGAATCAGTGAGGTCATCAGGAGAGCCCACTTCTGAGAGACAATGATTTCACACAAATAGGGATTGAAGATTGGGCAGGGGAGAAGAGGCTTCCAAAACTGATAATAGGTATACAGCTACTGTCATAGCAGATTAAGTGGCTAGTTAATTTTCATAGCTCATCTCGGGCACTCTGGCATTTCAAAAGAAGGGTTGTATCTCCTAACATAATTATAGACAGAGATGCAAATTAAGTAATTTTATACTGGGTGGTTTTTTTTTTGTTGTTGTTGTGTTTTTTTTTTTTTTTTTTTTTTTGCCATTGCACCAATTAAAGGCCAGTTTGTACTTGCTTGTGAATGTTATTAACTTTTTCCCCCCATGGGGCCCACTGTAGATAGAAGATCGATTTTTCTTCCTTCTTTACTTGTGTTTTTTTCCTTACAAGAGATGCTGCACAGCTTTTCTTTTTTCAAGGCACAGAATATAGATGTTTATCTTAACTGTTTAGGACCTTTGTGGTTTACCAGAGGAAAGCAAATGTGCGCAAACACTTGCTGAACTGAATCTTGTAATATTTATGTATTGTTTTGTTTTGTTTTTTCCCCCCCCTTCTGTTTTTGCTTTTGTAAGCTCTTTTCCTTGTACATGTCAAGCAGCCCTGGTCCTTGAAGGTCTGATTCTTGAAGTTTGTCTGCCGTTTCCTTCCTGGCAGGTTGAAAGTGTGTGGGGCTCAGGTGTTGACCTGAGTTCCTCTAATCCATCTCTATATGTGTTGGAGACTTGCTTTAGTTTCCTCTGCCTGACATTTTCCATATGATGTATCAGGCCTGGGATCCTTGGAGTTCACCCTGTTGAGTGAAGTTTGCTCTCTTCAGCATGCACATAAGATGGTTCAAGGTTGCCCTGAAGATATGCTGTGCAAGGCTTATAAATGGGTAGGAAAAGTGGTATTTAATTCTTCCTTGAGGCCATTCCTGCACTGCAGATTAAAACTATTATTAAAGATTAAGTCAAAACTCTCACCAGCATAAGTCAAGTCAGAATTGGGTTTGAGGAAAAACAGACAGGAGGGAACTGAGAATGGACTGTGGGAGCATGTAAAATGCTACAGATAAAATGCAAATTTCTGATTATTTGAAATTATGGTTTCAGCCAGGTACACTGGCATGAGCAATAATCACAGCTGAATGTCTGTGATTAACCATGTGTTAAGAATGGAGGAGAGTGTTCATGTAGTGTTTGTGCTTGTTCTGATACCTTGCTGTTCAAAGGAAACCTGTGGAATTTGTTTTTCCTTATACAATGAAAGACCATTCACGTCATGTTAAGGTTGTATGACGCTGAAATTGCTAAACAATATTTTCACATTTTGATAGACCTCCTTTTTAACTCAAGTGCTAATAGTTTTCAGTAGAGAAATGAAAGCAGTTGTAGATGTTGAAAGTATCAAGTAGGGGAGCCACACATCTGGGCATTTATGGCTTTGTTGTCTCAAGTAACAGATATAATTTAAAAGCAGAAATGCTTTTTTCTAGTTCAGTGCAAAGTAGCAGCATAACTGAAACAAAGTGGTGAGCTGCTACTGATCTGTTATTGCAATCAGCTACTTCTGTCACATTTTATGTGAAGAAGAAAGGGGGGTAAATTGAAACTAGCACATAAAATATTATTTTAACATTGCTGCTGGCTAGATTTGTAAATGGAAATAATAAATCCTAATACACCATTGAGAGTAATACTAAAGAATTCCCACTAGCTTATGTTATTTACAGCTGTTCTAAAGTTTTATTTCTTTTATTTATGTCTCTCTTCAAAGGGGTTAGCCCTAGATGATGCTCATGGTTAGCTAATCTTATGCTAGTGAAATCTCAGTTTTAGCTAAATTTTACAGTAATGACAGATAAAAATGGTATTATAAAACCAAATAGTATTGCATTGTAATCTGCTGGAAGGTAAAATAAACTTTCATAAAATATTGACATTAAGTAATATGAACTGATTGTTTTAAAATGCTCCTGAATAACTGCAAATAAGTGGAAAGGAATGAAAAAGAGTGGATATGTCTTTATATTAATTGTTCCCAAAGCTTCCTTGGTAACACAGGAGCATTTCAGCTCTTAAGAAAAAAGGACATAGATGAATTTTATGAAGTTCAGATTAAGAGCTGTGGTGAAAGTCAAACCATTCTGTAATTCTGACCGTGGGGATGGTTGGAGCCACTTCCAAAATGATGGAAGTTGGAAGGGATCTTTTAAAGGTCATCTAGTCCATCCTTCCTGCCCTGGGATCTTCTCTGAGGTCCTGCTGGTAATTAAACAGTTCTAGTGATGGAACATCCACAACTTCTCTGGGCAACCTGTTTCAGTATCTCACCGCCCTTACCATGAAAGTTTCTTCCCTAGATCCAATCTAAATCTTCCCTCTCTCAGTTTTCATCTGTTGCCCTTTGTTCTGTCACTACAGGCATTGGTCTCTGTCTTGCTTGTAAACCCCCTTTATATAATGAAAGGCTGCAGTAAGGTCTCTCTGGAGCATTCTCTTCTCCAGAAGAGAACAACCCCAAGTGTCTCAGCCTTTACTGAAAAATGTTCTGGTCCTCAGATCATTTTTGTGGCCTTTCTGTAAACCCGCTCCAACAGGTCCTTGATTTTCTTGTTCTGAGCATCCCAGAACTGCATGCAGTTCTCCATGTGTGGCTTGGGATAGCACATTAAAGGAAGATGATCCCTTCCCTTGACCTGCTGGCCACATCTTGGAAACTTTTGTGAACATGTGACTACACACTTGTATGAAGACATGTACAGACATGATCTTTTTAAACATTCATAAAGAGAGATCCAGCTTCAAAGCATAGGCTTCATAGTTGTGGTAGCAAATGACTGTATTCAAGCTTACACGCTTTGCTGAGATCAGAGCACAATGCTGCAGTTTTGAAAAACTACTGTGATTGTCTGCATTCCAGTGATTCTAACGTATCCGTTTCTCCTTGTCAATTGTACATTGACAGAATAATTTTTACTTTATCTGTGCGAGTTTTATACATAAAAAGTTATGTGTTGTTGTGGTTAAGAGCCAGCTGGCAACTAAGTTTGACATGTGCTCACTCAGTTGATTTGTGGGTGTGACTGGGGAGAGTGTCAGAACAGTAAAGGTAGAAAAACCTTATGAGTTGTAATAAAGACAATTTAATAGGTAAAGCAAAAGCTGTGCACATAAGCAAAGCACAGAGTTTATTCACTGTTTCCCAGATGTTCAGCCATCCCCTGTGTCATGTATAGTGGTGATTTGGGAAGACAAACACCATCACTCCAACTATCCATCCCTTATGGAATATCCCTTTGGTCACCTGGGGTCTTGGCGTCACCTGTCCTTGCTGTATCCCCTCCCAGCTCCTTGGGCACCCCCAGCCCTCCCTGGTGGGATGGGGTGAGGAGCAGAAAAGGTCTTGATGCTGTGTATAAGCACTTGCAAGCACTGCTCAGCAGTAGCAAAAACATCCCTCTGTTATCAACACTGCTTCTAGCACAAATCCAAAGCACAGACCATACTAGCTACTGTGAAGAAAATTATGACAGCTGAAACCAACATATGTAACATAGGTATATTATTCCATTATTTGCAACACTCTTTAATAAAAAAGAAAAAAAAATTAAAAAGAGAGAGAGAAAATAGTATAGTGCTGCTATATTAGTACTTAGCATTCTGGTCTACCTGAATTCTTCCTCCTTGGAAACTGATTTCCAGATCTATAGCTGGTGCCAACAGTGATGGTATACTGCAGTCACATTCCTTGCAGGAATACCTTACCTAATTCCCATGAAAGGGTGTCCTTTTACTCCCTCATAGACTGACAATTGTAGTCCAATTCTAAACAAAGAATTCACCAGATTCTTCATCCATTCCAGAGTATGGACTTATAAATGATGAAAGAAATACATACATACAATGTCCTAACTATGTCAGCCTGGGATGTGTTGCAGTTTGTACCCCATTTCTCATGTTCAGTCATTTAGGTCTTCCTGATGTTGTTTTAATCTTCCACTATACAGAAAGTAAATAAATATTTTGTTTCATCTTTTAACACCACAAACATAAACTTCTGAGCTGTGAGATTTTTTAACCAGGAAATACTGTTTCCAGAATTGACCCTTCAGAAGCATCTCTAGAAGAACAGCACGTTGCTGTTTGTCCCTGTGCTGGTTTCATACTTCTCTTTCTCTTCTCATCGTGTTTTCTTTTCCTTTAGCTTAAATTATTATTTTGCATGTTATACTGTATTGGTTGTTTTACTGCAGTCAGGATAAATCAGAGTTATGCTGTTTCTTTATCTCAGAAATGCCCTTTATATAAATATAAATAGAAAATATATTTCTATTAAATAAAATAATATAAAATAGAACTGACACAGGTGCCTTTTGGGAAACTCATGTTGCATTTAATTGAATTTTCCATTTGCTTAAAGTTGTTAATTATCTTTGCCTGACAGTTTATTTTAAGTGTTGTGCAATATTGAAATGCAACTAACGGACTTTTCATGAATCACTACTAATCTATATCTGTTTCTTAAATGCAAGTGTTACCTTTTGTTTACTAAGCAATTCTAGACAGCAAGTGTTTTCAAAGATGGACTAAAAGATTACTTTGGTCAGTTTTCCACCAAATTTGCCTGTTGAAATGCTTTCCTAACTTGTTAATGTTCACTTTACACTTGTGTAGGTTTTTAACTACACAAAAGGGACTAGGAGTCAGGATTGATAATTACATTGTGGCGCAACATCATTGCCTAAGCAGAACTGGGTGGTGTATTCCATTTAAATATGTAGGGTGAATATGTCTAGCCTGAAAGAAATATTAATGTTCATGTACATTTCCTTTGTCTTTCAGAACAATGGGTCACTTGCTTGGTGCCAGAATCATAAACAGTGTTCAAAGGTAAGACCTGTTTTTGTTCTCTCATTTGTATTACCTATCTGCTTTCAGTCTCTTGTATGTGGATTGTACTTTTCTTCTTAGCCTGTTTTCAGAAGTGTCTGTTTATATTTTATTTGGAAACCTCAGCCTGTAATAAAATATCAAAAATTAAAACCAAGTGATTTATTCTTTCAGGACAAAGGAATCATGTTGGAGGATACATATCAAGCGTAGTTAAACCAACATAATTCTGTCATTTTAAGAAAGTTTACACTGGCTAGAAACTGATGTCTCATTTGTGGTTTTTCAGAATTTTTGGTCAGAAGAGAGTAAAACTGTCATTAACTTAAAAATCTTCCTCCAACAGCACCAGGGTATTTGAACATTTCGTTCAGTTTGGGATTTAATTTTTATCTTGAACCTGAGTTTATTTGAAAGTATTCATGACACAAATCCCAGTAGCTCTACTGATGCCCCTTTCCCATTCTAACACTGAAACCCTGAAAACCTAAGGGGTGAGTGAGCTAATTCAACTGATTCTCCTGTGCAAGGGTCTTTCTGTGGTGCCTGGATGGAAGCAGCAACGATTTGGGAGCTTTTGTGGGTCAAGTGGAATTGCACATTTGTTGCTGACTGTTCATAAACATAGTGGAAGCGGCATTCATTGGACATTTACCTAAACATTCTAAAAATGTATTTCTACAATAATTTAGGCCTTTTAACTTCAATAATTATTCTTTCTTCATGAAAGTTGTACTGAAAATGGAATTAAATCTAAGTACTATTGTTCTGTACTGTTTCAATAATGCAATTGATGTTAAATGCTGATGCTAACCCTTGATTTTAACACGTTGATTTCTTGTATACATTTAAAGAATGAGATTACACATTTGCTGATCTAGCTTCTGTTGACATAAAAGGATTTGGAAATAAACCAGTTTTTTTGACTGTTCTGTTGCAGGTGAATAAAACAAAGTTGATTGCTTTTATCAGTATTAAAATCCAGGGTATAACAGAAAGAAAATAATGGAACATTTTCTATTAGCTGTGCGACACTGCTAAGGATTTCACTTCTGCAGTGAAATCTTATTGTTCTTTAAATTCTTCTGGAAATCCCCAAGTAGATTGCAAGGGATGTATTTCATGACAAGTGAGCTGCCTTTGCAGGAAAGCAAGAGGGCCTTGTTCCACAGTGACCCTGATACAATTTTTTTAAAATTTAGTTGTGAAGGCTGCTGTGGTAAGTAATCGGAAAGGTTTTCCAATGGTTTGTGTCTGCCCAACAAAGATGGAATCATATACTAGAAAAGTAGTCCAGATTTTAACACAGGACAAAGGTTGTTGGAATATCTGAGTCACTCCCAAGTTTATTGAATCCACATAAGCTGACATGAATTTTATCTTAAAATTGAATCAGTATCTTGAAACCAGCATGCTACAAATTTATATTCTATTGTATTACAAAACAATAATAGTTCAAGTTTAAAATTACTTAACATGTGCTTTGCAGTCATGTTACCCTGTTTTTCATTCTTTCTTAGGAAGATAATATATTTTCCTTAAGAAAGCAGCTTTACCATATTTAGAAAATAAATAAATAGAAGCTTGGCCAAATTGTTAGCAGAGCTGAACTTAAGCATAATGTTGTCTTTTCAGGATAGATTTGATTTCTGTGTTTTGCAATGCAAAGTTAAACAATTGCTTTAGCTAACTGAAATTTTCAAAGTGATGCAGGGAATTCAGTTAGCCTTTTAAAAATGCAAATTCCTCTTCTCAGCACCTCAGTGGAGAAGATTTATATGAGTGTGATAGGTAGTGGAGGATTCCACAAGGAATGGTATGCTGCTCAACCTTACTGCAACTCACATGAAAGACCTTGTTGGAGATACAAAGGTTGGGGGCAGCCTTGGCTGCAGTGACCATGAGATTGTGAAATTCTGTATTGGGCAAGAAGGAGGCAGGGCAGCAAGCAAGATAGTAAGCATGGACTTGAAAAGAGCAAGCTTTAGCCCCTTAGGGGACTTCTTGGAAGAACCCTATGGGAACAGATTCTATGGGGAAGAGGGGTCCAGGAGAGCTAATTGATCTTAAGGATCACTTCTGCAAGACTCAAGAATGATGCATCCTGGTGAGCAAGAAATTGGGCAAAGTGGGCAGGAGACCTGTGTGGATAAATAAAGAACTCATGTCATTTCTCCAGTGTAAGTAGGAAATACACAGGAGATGGAAGCAGGGTCAGGCTACTTGGAATGAATATAGAGAGGTGTCAGAGTGAGTAGAAATGAGGCAAGGAAGGCCAAGACACATCTGGAATTAATGGAATGGGGACTGTGGTAATGGAGGACAAGGAGAAGGCAGAGTTACTGAACACCTTCCTTGCATCAATCTTCACTGACAAGACCAGCCTTCAGGAATCTCTGACACAGGAGATCTGGGTAAAGGAGTGTTATAAGGAAGACCTTCCCTTGGTCAGAGAAGATGGGGTTAGAGAACACCTTGGCATCCACGAGTCCCTGGGCTCTGATGGCATGCACCCACAAGTGATGAGAGACCTGATGAGCACCGTAAGTAGACCAACCACGATCAGCTTTGAAGGACTGTGGCAATCAGGGGAGATGCCTGAGGACTAGAAGAAAACAAATGTCACCCTAGCCTTCAGAAGAGGCAAGAAGGAAGGCCTAGGGAACTTATCAACTAGTCAGCCTCACCTCAATCCCTGGAGAGATGGTGGAGTGCTTCACTCTGAAAACCATCTTTGGATGGCCATCACATGGATGACAAGTAGATTATCAGGAGTAGTCCTTGACCAATCGGAGTGCCTTCTACAGTGAAACAACTCACCTGGGTGGATGGGAAAATGCAGTGGATATTGAATACCTCAGTTTCAGCAAGGCTTTTGACACTTCCTCGCAATATCCTCATAAACTCAGGAGGGAAGGACTGGATGGATTGAGAACTGATTGACTGACTGGCAAAATTACATCTCTCACAGAGAGATGTAATTGCACAGGGTATGGCTGGGGCCTGTCACTTGTGGTATCCCCCAGGGTTCAGTACTGGACCTAGTATTGCTTCTCTTGTTCATCAGTGGCTTGGATGAAGGGCAGAGGCCTCCTCAGCAGGTTCAGTGAGGGCACAAAGCTGGGAGGAGTGGCCAATAGCCCAGAGTGCTGTGCAGCCCTTCAGAGGGACCAGCAGGGTGGGGAGATGGGCAGGGGAGAACTGCCTGAAATTCAGCAAAGGCAGGGTCCTGCACCTGGGGAAGAACAACCCCCTGCACCAGGACAGGCTGGGGCTGAGCTGTAAAGCAGCTCTGTGGAGAAGGACCTGGGGGTGCTGGTGACAGCAAGCTGTCCATGAGCCAGCAGGGTGTCCTGGGGACCAAGAAGCAGACGAGGTCCCCTCTCAGTTGTCTATCTGAAGGAAGGGTGGTAAGAGGATGGAGCCAGGCTCTTCTCAGTGGTGCCAAGGACAAGAGGCAATGGGCAGAAACAGTTGCACAGAAGTTCCACTGAACATGAGCAAGAGCTTCTTTCCTGTGCGGGTACTGAGCACTGGAACAGGTTGCCCTGAGAGGTTGTGGATCCTCCCTCACTGAAGATATTTAAGAACCTTCTGGATTCAGTCCTGTGCAATGTGCTCTGGGATGGCCCTACTGGAGCAGGGAGGTTGGACTGGCTGACCCACTGTGCTCCCAGCCTTACCCATTCTGTGATTCTGTTAAATATCTCAGATGACTGTGAGCAGAAAAATATTCACCAATTATTTAAAATGAAATTTCATTTGGTAAGATCTCTGCACAAGTCTGTTTTTCAAGATGAAGCACAAGAGACCTCTTGAATGTTTGCCCTATTTTGACATGTGTAATTTCAATATGTTAAAATACTTCATTATAATTATAATATTCATTATAATTAGGACAACTATAGGATTATAAAATAAATTGTCATTTTTGGTTGCAGTAGTTTCTAATTCATTGCCATAATGTACTCCTCCTTGTCTACTGGCACAGCACAGAAGCAGACTGAGGGCTTTCTTATTTTGATTCTTGACAATTGGCTGGTTGGCTTCCACACTGGAGATGAAATTGGCATTGTGATTGATGAAGTTTGTGAACTTCTTTGGAAAAAGATTTGAAACCAAAATTTCTTTGTCTAACTTCATTCATAGACCATTGTTTTCTTTGAACTTAGGCTTATTGAGTTGCAGATGATTCCTTTCTAAGGGGACAGAGGGCCCAATATGCCAGTCAGGCCCAGCCCACAGGAAGATCTACTGCCTACCTGGGGCCTGGGTAGGGTTGTCATCCAGAAACTTGTTAATCTGGAGTGGTCCTGAGACTACTGGTCATTGCTGATTTCCGACAGAGGGGATAATGGAGTGGGAACACATAGTCCAAGGACGATCAAAAAGGACTTCAGGGCCTTGGAATATTTGGTAAGGGAATCTGGAGCACAAGTTATGACTTCCTCTGTACTTCCAGTTGAAGGCAGCAACATGGGCTGAGTCTGTTACTACATAGCTCTGTGGCTGGTATCTCCACCAAAATTTTGGGTTTTTTGACAATTGTATGGTCTGTGCTGTACAGGGCATGCTTGTGCCAGTAAGGACTCACGTTTCTCAGGGAGGAGAGTTGCTGCTTGGGAACCAGAGGGGCCCATTTCATTGACAGAGCTTTAAACTAGTTGTGATAGGGGAGGGGGACAATATCAGGTTTGTGCCTGGAAAGCTGTGGAATAAGTGAAGGTTAAGAGGGACAGCGTGCAAGAGGGCCCTGTGCCAGTGACTCTGAAATGTGCTGGCCACACTGGAATGCACTTGCAGTCTTACAGAGACAAGCCAGGGATTCCTAATATAACAGAAACCAACAGGGAAACACCAGAGAATTATCTCAAAGGAATTAAGGGCTGTTCCTTTAGGAAGGCAACCTGGCTGACAGGCCAGCTGAGGTGCCTTTACACCAGTGCATGCAGTGTGGGCAGCAGACTGGAGGAGTTGGAAGCCACTGTGCTGATAGAAAGCTGAAGTGGCCCTGTTGCCACTTCAGGACAAGGGGAATGGATTCTAACTGTGTTTGTGTAGAAGCATTTCACATATACTCTTCAGCCTCCATGTTCCCACTAGCCTTGACACCCTCATTAGGATTGATACTACATGGTATAGAATTGTTTGTGTACTGAGGTTCTATTCAGATTTGGTCTAGGTAATGAAAGTTAAAATATAGTATTTATTTTCTTTTACTTTACCAGTAGATGGCTGGCAGCTTGTCAGACTTGCTGAGTAATGCAAAGGTGGACTTACAAACAACAGTCTGAGGAAATAGAACTGCAACATGGAGAGACTGAAAAAGAAAGTGGGCTGGATTGGGCTGGGCTCAGTATTTCCTAACACAGTTATTGGACCAGCACCTGGATCTCAGTCAGCTCTGCTCATTCCTTGACACCACAGGGGTAAAAAGCTTAACTGGGAAAAGAACCAGACAGACACTCCCCTCATTTTTCTGCATACATGATTACATAAAACCCCAGTTCCTGTTTCCAACAGCTGGTTCAGCAGAGGAGTTGAAAATAGAACTTCTGCAGAGGTACCCCTGGTTGGGGAAAGACAGTTAAAGCTGGAAACTGATGGATCTAGTTTTCTTACACAGCTGACCTAAAGTCTTTCATCGCAGCCAAATGTTTGGCAAAGTCTTGCAAAAAATATATTCATGCCTGTCATCTTCAGACTGTCTTTAAATAATATTTTGACATGGGTTGTGCCAGTAGGTAGGCAAATATAACCTACTTTGGGCTTATTCCTCCTTTTCCCCTCCAACTAATCATATTTGTTATGGTATATCAAACTCTGAGTTACCTAAGTGATTATTTAAAAGCATTATGAGGTACAGGTTATATACAGTCTGAAGTAGTGTCTGTAATGTATAGGTTTTGTCTAAAACATAATTCAACTTGTTTCCAACACAGGTAGTCAGTCGGCTTTGCTACATGATTCTATGTACGTAACTCATTAATACTGGATCTGTTCTCTCTAAATGGAAATGTATAGAAAAAAAATAGTCTATTTTTAGATGAAATGGCTGCTGCTAGGGAGTGAAGAGTAGAATAGGTCAGTTTTTAGAATAGTGTTGGTTGAGTATACAGTATCTAAACCAGAAAGTCTAGTGCTGCTGTTGAAAAATATTCATTCACACTTTTTGATAGATAGAGAATTGTTTATAACTTGTTAAAATGATAGATCTTAAAATATTTTTTCTTTTTTTAAGAGAGATTTTATGATTACAACTCACATAATAAAATCTAGATGGATTCTAGCTCTTTCTGTAAGCTTAATTCTCAGTGAAATTACTGAGACATTCTGAGAGTTATGTTTAGTGATGAGAGAGAAGAATTCTGCCCAGATGTGGTTGTTATTAGATTTGTGTTTTCTGGAGCTAAGCTTATACATTTTTACTTGCAATTCTCAATGTTCATGAGGGTAGTAAATGCTATTATGGTTTTTATTCTATGTACAGATATTGTTATCTGGCAGTTTCATTTTGTTGCTTCTAAAAATGAAATGCAGTTTACTTTGTGGGTTCAGGAGAAATACAGAAAACATTCACACTTTTTCATGACTGTATTTTTTTTCTTATGTATCTCTGATGGCACACAGCTGAAGGGTTGGTTTCATGTGTCATGTTTATTTTCACTGGTAACTTTCTCTTTATGTAATCCACTTAGAATCATATAATAGTTTAGGTTGGAAGGGATCCTAAGAGGTCATCTAGTCCAATCCCCCTGCAATGAGCAGGGTCATCTTCAACTGGATCAGGTTGCTCAGAGTCCCATCCAGCCTGGCCTTGAATGTTTCCAGGGATGGGGCATCTCCCAGCCCCTGGGCAACGTGTTCCAGTGTCACCACGTTCATCATAAAAGATGTTTTCTTTATGTCTAGTCTAAGTTTACTCTCTTTTGATTTAAAACTGTTATTCCTTGTCCTGTTCAACAGGCGTTGCTAAAAATTCAGTTCTGATTTTTCTCATAAGTCCTTCTTAAGTACTGAAGAGTTGCAATAAGGTCTTCTCAAAGCCCTTTCTTTTCTTGAAAGCTGAATAACTCTCACAGCTCTTCCTGGAAGAGGTGCTTCTCCCATTTGATAATTTCTGTGGACCACCTCTGGACCAGCTCCAACAGGGGTATATATTTCCTGTGCTGAGGATACCAGAGCTGGAAGCAGCACTCCAGGTGAGTTCTCTCTGGAGCACATTGGAGGGACAGAATCACCTCCCTCAGTCTGGTCATGACACTGCATTTGATGCAGCCCAGGATGCAGTTAGTGCAATTGCATACTATGGGCTCATATCCAGCTTTTCACCCACCAGTACCCTTAATCCTTCCCCACAGGGAAGCTCACAATCCCTTTTTCCCTCAGCCTGTATTGATACAGCAAATTGTCTCACCTAGGTCAGCACTTTGCACTGGGTCTTGTTGATCCTCATGAAATTCCCATGGGCCCACGTTTTTAGCTTGTCCAGTGCCCTCTGGATAGCATCCTGTCCTTCAAGCATGTCAGTCATACCACACAGCTTGAAGTCATCTGCAGAGGGTCTTGCTTAAGGCCCCCTCAGTCCTGTTGTGCCACTGATGATGATAATAAACCATACTGATGCCCATGAGTTTGGTGACCTCAAGGGAACACCACCCTCTGGATGAGACCAGCCAACCAGTTTCTCTTCTGCCAAAGAGTCCAACTATCAAATCCATCTCTCTGATTTAGAGAGAGGGGTGTTGTGAGAGACCCTGTTAAAGGCCAGGTTAAATCAAGCTGTGCCATATATCTCAAATGATCTCCCTATACTTTACATGTCTTAGTATAGCTTCTAGAAGGATCTGTTCCATGATTTCCCAGGCACAGAGATGAGGCTGACAGGTTGGTAGGTCCCACGGTCCTTTTTTTTTACCTTTTTCAAAAATGGGTGCAATGTTTACCTTTTTGCAGCCACCTCGATCTTTACCTGTCTGCTATGACTTTTCAAGTATTATGGCAACTACATCAGCTAATTCCCTCAGATCTCTAGGTTACATGTCATCAGGTCCCATAGGCCATGTGTGTTCCAGTTCCTCAGGTGGTTATGGGCCTGATCTTTGGTTACAGGTGGAGCTACTTTGCTCTTGCAGCCCACCCACTCAGGAGGTGTGGTGGAAAAAAGGTTGCCTTTGAAGTCTGAGAAGAAAAATGTTGAATACTTCAGCCTTCTCCTTAAACCTGTCTGACCATGTCCTTATAGTCTTAGCAAGATAGGTGTCTGTCTTCCACTGCCTGTGTGCTTCCTTCTTGCCCTTTACCTTGACCAGAACGTCTCCACTCATCTATGCAGGTCTCTTGCCTTCCTTTCTTGATTTTTTACACTTAGTGATTAAGAGTTCTTGTGTTCCATGGAACATGTCCTTAAAGATCTGCCAGCTCTTTTCTAGTCCCTTGTCCTTTAAAGCAGTTTCCCAGGGAGTCCTGTTGACTAACATCTTTAAGAGCTGGAAGTTTACTTTCCTAATATTTAGGGTCCTGACTTTATTCTTTGCCTGACCCACATCCCTCAGGACTGTAAACTTCACTAGTGCATGAGCATTGCATCCCGGGCTGCCTCCAGCCTTAATATCAGTGATTAACTCACTTCGTTAAAACATTACAATAACCATAAAATTTGCTGATCAATCTTTCCTGCTATATGTGGATTTAAGGACTACTTGGCATGTGAAATACAATCAAAACCTGGCCTAAGAAAATAATCTGCAAGGCTGACTTCAAGGGTAACAACTTTGCACTGGAGATTGCTCTTTTTGTAAATGGCAATGAACTGTTTTATGTTGTGTTTTGAATTCTTTCACTGACTTGACCTTTGCTGTTGGATTTAAATTTCACATCTTTACATAATTCGGGGTTGGGGTTTTTTGCCTCTCCTTAACTTACTCTCTGAAAATTTTTATGTGATATTTTGTCTCTTTCTCTCCATTAGTGTCACTATTCTGTATGCCCATCCATCTGTTTCTTAAAAATCTATAAATGAATCAGTGAATTGTTGAGGTTGGAAGGAAAACCCTTTCAGATCTTCTAATGAAAGATCAACTAGAGGAGGTTGTCCAGAACCACATCCAGTTGGATTTTGAGTATCTCCATATGTAAAGACCACAACCTCTCTTGGCAGCCTATTTCAGTGTTTGACTACTTGCACAGTAAAAGAGTTTCTGTATTTGCTTTTTGATTTGTGCCTATGGCCTCTTGTTTAGTCCATAGGCATGACTAAGAAGAGCCTGGCTGTCTTTTTTTCATTGCATCCCAATGGATATTTATAAACATAAAAAAGATCCCTCTGAACCTTTTCTCCAGGCTCATCAGTCTCAGATATCTTTACTTCAATGTATGTGGCAGGTGCTCCAACCCCTTAAAGAAATTCTTGGCCCAATGTATTCTTCTTCTTTTCTATTTATGCTTTCTAAGCCCCAAATGACTCATGCCTTCTGCCATTTACAAAACGCCTGTCCTTAAAATCCCTTGACTTCTAGCAGCCATTCTTGCTAAATTGGATGTAAAATGCACAGCTTTTGCTGTTCCTGCTCCATTTTTCTGGTTTGTTTTTGCAGTGTGAGCTCCACAGTTCCAGGGCTGTACTTCTCAAGTACTTGGAAGTGCTGAGCATATAACAGGTGCTTCCCCATAAAAACAACAGTTAGAGCTGATTGCTGCTGAGAGTAACATGAAAGGGCAAGAGTCCTGCATTGATGCTGGCTTAGCGAAAAATGTATTTTAGCCCTAAAGTGGGGAGCAGGGGGAAAGGCATTTCAAGAGAGTTTGTGAAGTAGACATAATTTATTTAATTTTTTTTACAGCTCCTTACACAAGGTTTTCTTTTTGTAGGCAGCTGAAAGTCAAGAGACCAGCAGGCATAATTTAGAGCTGCATGTGCTGTGGCATTTACAAGGACTGGAGATAAATGGGGATCATCATAACGCACTGTGAATTGCAATACAACTTTCTTGTTCCCAGTGGCCACAGCAGTGGTCCCTGATTGATTGATTCTGCAAGAAGGCTGAAAGGCTATTTTTTGAGTTTTCAGAACTGAGAGGAAAATGTGAAAATAAAAATAAACTATTTAGAAATTGTGTAGCCAAATAAACATACTGTTTGACTATCTCAAAAATACAGTTTACGATCTTTTTAGAATATATACTCCTGGATTCCATATTCAAGCAATTGTTTAAGGCTTCCAGCTGTGCTCTTTCCAGATATAATGCAGGTGGAAAGATGAGTTAATGATTTAAACAATTAGAGATTTGATGCAGTCTTCCATCTGTCAAAGCCCACTGAAATGAAAGTTCACAGTTTTAATTTGTGCCTCCAGCATCTAACTCAGTCTGAAATGGTGTCAACGATTTGCCCTGCCCACAGTAGTGCTATTCTTATGTTAAGCATTCTGTGCACACATGCTGAGAGACTTCTATCAAACATATTAGTGTGCATTTGAGAGATCATTAGCCTGAAGTAGCTGAAACATTCCAGGTTTCTTAGCCAGGAATCTCACATCTCTGCTGGAAAGTATGTTGAGCCATTGTTATTTACACAATAAAGCTAGAGCAGGATAGGGATAGCTTTATAAAGTTTAGCTGGAATAGTGGTGCTGTGATTTAAGTGGCACCCATAAAAGGGTGAGATGATGAATGTTTTGGTTTTTTGTCTAAAAAGATAGAATGAATAAAAATTTTTCTTGATCTGCTAGACAGATTGGTTTTCTTTCATTTAGTAAAAGCTGAGGTGAAACAATTTAATACGGAGTTCATAAGACTTGATCAGATTATTGTTCTCCTAAATTGATAAAAAGTCATGAGCATATAAGAAATAAGACAGATGTGATACTTATTGTTTGCATTCTTATGGATTATTTGATTTTTTTATATTCATCCAGAAAAAGGTAGAGAGGACTGAGAGAACCATAGTGGTTGGATGATTAAAGCTGTACTAGCTAATAAATAGGATGACTGAAGTTTCTGGATATTTCTGTTCGGGGAAATAGAAGAAAGAGCTTTGTGATTCAGTGTTTATGTTTATACAAAAGCATTAGTGTATAAGTGTGTTGTGATTACAAGAATCCCTTTGTTCCTAAGGGCCTTGAGAAATCACAAATAAACAGAACTGAAATCCAAACAGTATTTGCAGTGCTCTGTAATACTCTGATGTATTGCTGTATATTTGTAAATACCAAGTTATATTTTTTGGGGCATTGAAAAAACAGTTGTGTTAGAACATGAAATAAGTGATCATGAAGTAAGTTCATATTCTTTACCGTTGCTATATTGGATCATGTCAGTCATCCTTCCAATATAATACTTGTGTTACCAGCTAGATTCTCAAAAGGTAAGTAAAGCTGTAGGTCAGGAATAACCTACTGCAAAGAAAAAGCCCCTTACTTTAGCCCTATTACTTATTTTTGTGTGATACTGTGCAACCTAAAGGATATGTCCTTTTCAGAACGCTCATTGTGGCGTCTCGGCTCTTGCCACTTACTGTTTTGTCCACCTTAATTTTTTTTTCCTTGGAAGAGCAGAACCTTAGGATTTTATGGAGGGTGTTTTGCATGGCATTCACTCTGACTGATGCTGCTGATAACTTTCTATCTCTAGTAAAAATGGCTAAAATCAAGTTACTTTCTTTTTTCCTGTGTTAAAAAATTGTCACAACTGCCAGAGACCTTATGAGGGGTAGGGAGGAAAAGATCAGGTTGTTTGTATGTCCCTGTAGCCCAGGTTTTTGTTAATGTGGAATTCTGCTGAGGTTCTCATTGATCTTCATCATGGGTTTATAGAAAATCTGATTCTTTTGGAGCTTGCTCTTTTGGCCAGTTGAATCTGTTTTAAGGAGGTTTGATCATTGTGCTGTTTGAAATCTGAGCTCCTGATTACTGAGCAAACTGAGCCAGTGCTGAGCATAACCAGATGAAGATTAAGTAACCCCCCTTTCACAGAGAAAGGACAAAAAATTGTCATTAATGACTGAATTGTGCCAACACTGGCTTTGAGGGTAATAGCACAGCAGTCTTAACTCCATTCTCAGAAAAGCCAGTGCTGGCTTTAGACTTTAAATCTGCATACGCTGTGATGTATAGAGACATCCACTACAGCTAAAGGGAGAAATGTGTGCATGGCAGTGCTCACATATAAACACAACAGATATTATTGAAGCTGGCATGGTGAAGCACTAAATGCTTCTACAACTTAGCTTTATCTGCTTCAGTGAACACTCTTCAAAATCCAAGGAGATTCAGACTACAGAATCCTTTATTTAGAGGTATTTGAGCACAAAAATAATCCCTTACTAGAAACTTTTGAAGTACCAATGCAGCTATGCAGTCTAATCAACTGTAAATTTTTGTCATCTAAAAAGCACTTGATTAAGTAACATCTAGCAGAAGGATGATTATCATTGGAGCAACACTGGTCAGACAGTAAAGACAGATGCTCCTACTGAGACTAAGGAGAATTAGCAGTAAATCTTCTTGAAAACAAGCAACAGATTTATCTTCCTAAATCTTCAGTTTTACCAGGTCTCTCACCACTCAGTTTGCTCAAAGCTTATACATACATTTTTCTTGTCATTCAATAACTTTGCATGCTATGTGCAGAGGGAAATATGTGACTTGAAAGTGTATCTGAGATTTTGATTTCCCAAATACAATCTTAGTTCCCAAAGCTCAGCTCCCTGAATTACTATTAGGAAATTTTAATAGCTCAAATAAGTCAGAGAATCTGTATGAAATTTATAAATTTGCAGTTGAGATGAGAATCTTACTACATTTCATTAACCTAATTAATTTGTAGTGCAAAACAGACTGTAATAGTCTGTTTAAATGTATTGTCCTTTTCTCCTCTTGTGGGAGACAATTGCAGAGTTAGGCCAAATATAGCTCTAGTTAAGTGACAAAGAAAAATGTACTTGCATTGACCTTTAATATAGTGATAAAATGCATTCAAGCCACTGGGAAGGGACGTATGTCTGTCTCTTAACCGTGACTTCAAAAAGAGTTTTGCTTGACTAGATCCAGGGCATTATTCAAAACCCGCTGAAGTAAGGAACAGTGACTTTCAACAAGCTCTATACCCATCTATAAGTTAAGATTGTGCTTTTTCAAGTGACCTCCCTTGGAGTTTCTCCATTACTCTAATATTGAAGGAGATATAAAAGTGTGCTTAGGTAGATGGAGTTACTATGCTGAGAGAGAGGCAATTGTCTTTGAGGCAGACAGGCAGGGATGCAAGTGCCCTTTTCTCCACACATTCATTGAAGTGTAAGGAAAGCATTAAGCTGGAAGTGAGAGCTATGACTGTTTTTTACTTTTGAGTGCCTGCAAAGAATTGGAAAGCTGTCTGAGCACAGAAGCATAGTCTGTCCTTAAATAGAAATTGCAGGTTTTATTTTGTAGCACTAAGTGTGATATTTAATCAGACACTAAAGAGTTAATTGCCATTTAGCACTAACTGTATATTAGAATAACTCTCTATACACAACAGAGAAAAATGCTTCTGAAAGGGTGCAGTGTTAAAGAGTGGGTTTTGTGCTATGAATTTTAAGTAGATCTCCTTATTTAGTTTCCTTAAAAAGTTCTGCTTTTTTTTTAAAGTCAATTCGGGGTATTATGAGGTTAACGAGTCAGAAAGGTAACTGGTTCTGACAGCTCTTCCAAAATATACACATCTACTGTATGGGTTATAAGCATACATTTTGATCTTAGTAATTTAAAATATTTTTAGTTATTTCAATTGCCTGAGGATTTTAAGATCACAGTGGAAACATATAATTGTACAGATAGAAGTCCCCCTATGGAGATAGTGACAGGAAAATATTCAGGCCTTTTTTCTGATTCCATAAACTTTCTGAAGTCTGCAATGGTTCTAAAGGCTACTTCCTGCAGTCTCATTTACAATTGGTTTGCATCTTCACTTGAAACAAGGGAACAGTTACATGGGGCGTAAAGTGAAAGGGAAATTCATAGTCATATTTATTGAAGTTGACATATGCATTTAATCCACATGGAAGATGTGAAGCAGTATTTTGGGTTCGTGTTTAACATAAAGAGTTGCCCATGTAGGAGTGCCAGCAGGATCAACTGCAGTGAAATGGAAGAAGAAATGGATAACTATTCAGCCTTGTACTGTTTTGTTGCTGGTGTATGTGTGTACAAAATTGATTTTTTTGTTTTAAGTAGGTGTTTGCAGCTTATGCATTTAGAAATTAGAGGATTGCTGTAATTAAATCTGTAAAGGAATTTTTTTCCTTTGGAGTGTGAACCAGAAGACTGAGTAATGAACAAGGATCTTTTCTCCAATATATCTAATATTCTGTTTGCTTTAAGTTGTAAAACCCATGGGTGCCAACAAATGTTGGAGTTTGCAGCCTCTGACTTTGAATGAAGAATGCAGCTGACTATGTAAACATAGTCATTTTTCTCATGACGTGATATTGTTATATCCAAAATCCATTAAATTTCAATAGCCACAATAAATCAAGGTTTGAACAGGAAAATAAAACTGAGTTATGGCACTTGGGATTTGAATTGCACTCTGCAAAAATAGTAGAAACTTTTCAGAGCTAGGAATGAAGAATCAAATTTTAAACTGGTTTCATATTAGGAGTGAAATATTTCATTTTTTTTGGCTTATGTGAAACATTTAGCTGCATTGTTACTCACTGAACTTTGAGCACCTTCAGGAGGGAAAAAGACTTAATTATGTTTTACATAAATATGACCACTCTGCTCACCCTAGTAAACAACAAAGTATTGGTTAAACAGTAGTTACCACTTTATAACTTCTTTCAAATTTTGTCCACTTAAATCAGGCTTTAGCATTACATGGATTCTCATGTGTTCCTTTTCCTAAATCTGGAATTCTTTCAGTTTGGCCTGAGAACACAATGCAGAGCCCCAAACACATCCCTGGCCTGGTCCATGCAGTTTATTAGGAGGAGAACTAACCATGCTTGCTTGCAGGAATGCTCATGGGAGCTATGGTCAGACCCAGCAGGCAGAGCTCAGTCTGGCTATACTTGTTAACTTTTGTTTGGTTCTGGACCATATTGTTGAGTGATATCTGAGGATATCATTATTCACTCACCAGGAGCAGGTCTAAAGCTACTATAAGGGCCAGGAATAAGGGAGGGAATTGCAGTTTTTTGGGTGAGATTTTTGAAATGTTAGGATTTATATCTGTAAACAAGCACTGAGACAACAGAGCTGATGAGTTACTATTTAAATCAATGAAGACACAACCAAACCTGCCTTTGCCACCTTGGAAGATCATTGGCTCAGCAAATATTTCTTACAGAAACATTGCTTTTTCAGCATCATTCCACTGGTGATCTATTCTCCTCATATTATTCAGTGTTCCATTTTCCTTTTCTATTTGTCATTGAAGGTATCTGCATGACAGAACTATTGTGTTTCTTTGGAGTTCAGCTGTTCCTGCTGTACAATTTCCTTTTCCAAAGTCATGTTTTACCTTGTGTCAAATACGACTCCTGTGATAATTGTAACCTATGTTTTTGGTGGGGCCATGATACAGAAAATAATCCCGTTTTAATTGCTTATGCTCTTCAAAAGATTAATTAAATCTTTCTGTTTCATAACTGAATATTTTAAATTTAATCTCTAGTTAAATAACACATTTGAATAACAAATGAGTAGTTTTTTTAAAAAAGATATTTAGTTGGTAGCTTTCTTGCCTTATTTTTTCCTTTTAATTTCTACCCCTCCCATAAAATAAACTGAAACCAGGAAAACTAAATTGGTGTAGCTTTATTGTTGCTAATTATAGTGGTGCAAAAAATAACAACATGCACTTCATTCAAAGTAATATCCATCTGTAGGAGAAGTCATTGGATTTTCATGTTTTCTAGGTTTAATAAGCGTTTGAAAGTATTGCAGATCGAGGCTTTAATTCCTCAAATGGCAAGTAAGTAGGTCATCATCATCATCAAGGAAAGGCTTATTTGTCCTCATTATTCCTGGGGTCCAACATTATGCAAATTTGCTTTATAATACACTTGAAAGTAGTTATTGTAAGGAAGTGGGTGTATCTATAGGCAGTCCTTTAAAGATTTTTATCCTGACATCAACAGCAAAATAGATTTACAAACACTATTCATATACATGA